GGGGGGGGGGCCGCAGACGCGCGGGGCGTTATCAGCCGCCGCTAAACGCCATCACTTCGCCGTCCCCCCGAACGCACGGCGCGCCCTTCTGCGTTTGGAAGCGCAGCTCAGCGGCGCGTGTGCACATGCGCGCGCGTGACCCGAGGAGAAGCGTTGGCATGATAACGCTCAATTTATTTGCGGCAACGTGGCTGCGATCGATGCGTGGCTGCGCTCCGAGAATTTGGTTCTTTCTACATCTTGTGTAGGACACTAACCCTTAAGCCGGCTGACCGGCAATGTTAAGCTTTGTGCGGGAACGCAAAATAAACAGCTAAGGAGTTATCAGTTATATGAGTCATAGGCGCTCAGTTACAGGGTGGTGAGGGCACCGTCGGGAGACCTGAAAGAACAGGCTAGGAAGAGATCATCATGGAGAAAATCTATCTATGTGGTTGCTAGGAGTCGAGAACGACTTGATGGTGCATCATCATCATCAATTATCAGTTGCAATAAACCCGCCCAAAGAAACGATAGGAGCAGCCTCTGGTGACTCCTCTCTGCTTTCCTCTACAGAGTACGAGGAGGTCTGTCCAGCGAGCGAGCTGGTGCTCTCTCATACGACGGATTACTCACGGTTCCTAATTTGTTATGGCATCAGCACGCATGGACTACAGCCGGACTTCATCAGATAAAGGGGATCTGGTTCCTGCCAATGATTTTGTTAGCCTTCAGGGTATCACATGATTCAGTTCAGTTGACTATGATAGCTGTCTGTCCCTTTGGAAACATTTGTTTGCTTTATTAATTTGATTTATATGGCTGCCCACTTGACAGTGGCACGCAAACAACAAATTAATCAATAAAAGCATCTACAAAAACCCAAGCCCATCATACCGGCATATCAACAACCCCCAAACTGACTTGTCTGGCTATCTAGGTCAGTGTTTCTCAATCTTGGCAACTTTAAGATGTGTGGACCAATTCCCAGAATTCCCCACTCAATTCCCATAATGGGGAATTGAAGTCCGCACATCTTAAAGCTGCCAAGGTTGAGAAACACTGACCTAGATCAATAAGCTCATCAATCCTGCACAAAAAGCATGTTTGCTTTCCCCTTGTCTTAATCCCTAATTCTTTTCATCACCAGGCAGAGATTGTGGTATTCATCATGTTCCCTTTGCAGTGAGTGCCTTTTTTAACTTGGTTATTTTAAAATGTTGCACTTTTCTGGTGACTCCATAAACACAGCCAGGTAGTTTTCTTGGCAACAATCTTGAAGCAGCTTGGGAATTCTTTTCTGTCTTTGTTTTACTTCCCAATTTAGATATTTCTAGGGAATCTCCCATTCAAGCACTAACCTGATCCACTCCTGCTCATCTTGGATCAGCCAAGGTTGACAAATTTGTATTTGTCTTGCTGTCTTTAAAGTTTGTTCCTGCTCTACAATTATCATTTTAGCACTGCTTTATTGAATTGTACTGTAATTCTGACTATAGTTTTATCGAGCATATATTTTGTGTGCTTGTGTGTCACTCCAGGAATAATAGTTGGGCATCTGCTAAATAGGAGAAATAAAATAGAAAATAAATAAGGGCCACAGAAGCAAGGCTGCACCTGGAACATAAAGGGCAATTGCTAGGGATTTTTTAAAAAATGGGATATAGTTTGCAGAAAGAAGGAAACCCTTTTAGGCTGAAATGGTTCATATGGAAACCTGAAGAAGTCTGTTACTTCAGAGTATGGCAGTGTTGTCCAAACTTGGCCACTTTAAGATGAGTGGACTTCAACTCCCAGAATTCCCCAGCCAGCATGGCTGGCTAGGGAATTCTGGGAGTTGAAGTCCACTCA